TTTTTCATATAATTTTATATATCATCTAATAATTAAATTTTTTTCATTTTATTGAAATTTATGATATAAATATTATATGTATTTATTTATATAATGACATATAAAAATTATTAAAAATTATTATACACATTATTACCCTATCCAAATTCATTATCCTATCTAAATTAAAAAATTTAATAAAAATTTATCATTATAAAAATTCGTTATTAAAAAACATTGTAAATAATTTTTCTCTAGAAAGAAAAGATGTGCAATGTCTTTTTTTTTCCCCCTTTTTGATAAAAAAGTGGGATTAAAATTAGCAAAACAGCAACATACAACTAAGTTTTGGGGAATTCAAACACCATAATATCTAAAATACAAAAGATTTTAACATTTTGGGAACAATGAGAGAAAATCAAATAGTTCATGTCCCAATCAAGTGCAATGTCTCCGCGCGGATGGAAAGAAAAATATGTCCGCGCGGTAATAGTGTAATACAATAATACCCACTAAGAAGAATTAAAAAAATTTTTGGACCCTACTTTCGGTTACCATACACTTGCCCGCCTTCTACCAAAAAAATACACTTGCACGCCTACCAGTAAAACATGCTCTTATGTATCAACAAAAGACGCCCTTGAAATAACGAATCATTTATGTTTGAGTTCATTTTAGACTCAACTTTAAGCTGAAATTATGAGTCTATAAAAGGGCAAATAAGTTTCGTTTGTATTCTTAATTCATGCAACTTACTTTCAATTGATAAACTCTATTAGCAATCGGAGTTGCAGAGGCAACAAAAATTAACGTATTAATTTACACCAGTTAAGCTTTTTTATTTTTTTTTGGTAAAACGTAGAAAATACAACAATTATATGCAATTGAAGATACTGCGTTCTATTGAAATTGAATACAAGAAAAGACACCATCCGCGTTCAAGTGGTGAACAAGAAGTGGTACCGTAGAAGAGAAACAGATATTTAGAAGATTAAGAGAAGTATTTTTTGAGATAAGATCAAGAGAAGAAGTAGAGTTCGGAAAGCAAGAGGCAGGGATGAGAGGAAGAAGAAAATAGTTTATACATTTCATCACTTACAACTACAGAAAATATAATATATAGGACCTTGGCAAAGTTGCACCCACTAGCTTCAAAATCTTGATTTGAAGTTATTGCCGGATTTAAACCTGAAATACCAAAACTGCCGTTATCCACAAAATGACTCGTACCAGAAGTATTTCTCATCTATGAGTAATACTGTTATTTACTGAACATTTCAGCATGTAATTTAGTGTGAGTCTCTGCTTTGGTGTCATTTGAGCGTTTATTTCAATCCCTGTATATTTATCACATAAATGGGGAAAATAAATAAACAAAAAATTAATGTGCTGACCTTAGTTTCAGAGCCTACATATGCCCAATTTGGTGAGAAATCAATAATGCTAAAAAGTTGGTCCTGCGACACAGAAGGATCAGGCATAGAGGTATGAACTTGTCCTTTTGGGGGAATGTTGGAAACACCAATCTCAATACCAACTTCATTTTCAACTGTTCCCCACAAAGCCCCAGAACTGGACAGCATATGTGACTCATCTACATCTGTAACGTCTCCTAGTTCCTCAAGCATCCAGTTTAAACTGTCCAGCTTCTTTGATCCTTCTTCCATTAATGTACAATCAAACAAACTCTGCTTTATCGCAGAAGGGCAGATTGATTTTCCCTCCAAGTTCAAGTACTCATCAGAATCAGGTGGAAGAACACGATCATTTTCTTCACATTTCATGGCTTTAGAAGCTGTCTCATATGCTGATTCTGAATATAATTTCTGATCCATTGGCCCCTTAGAGAAAGATAAAGAATCCTCAAACGAAACCTGTTGGGAATTCAAATTAAAGACTAAAATTAATTAAACTAGAAACCAAATGCTAGATATATACTATGATTTGATGCACGAAAACTTTTGCAATGTTAATCAGTCAGTACCTTTGATTTTTCTTGAATCTGCCTTTGCTCCCCAAAGTCCAGCCTTTTAACAACATTGTTGCTGAAAAACTCACCCACTGTATCAGGATGTGAGAAGGAAGACAATGACCCATACTCTATGGATTCACTACAAGGAGTGTTACTCTCCCAGTCATCTTCCAATAATGTAACATCAAGGGAAGTCCAGAGTTCATGTGTTAGTTCAATATCATTATCAGTTTCATGAAAACCATCTGCAGAGTGAAAGGTATTAGAGACTTAGTGAAAACTGAAAATGCAAACTTTAATTCAGAAATAGTAAAAATAACACAAATAACTATTTTACTTCGATAAAATAGCGGTACATTAGGTTCAGAGCCTCCGGCATCAATGGTTTCCACAACCAGCTGTTGTAGCTCAGGATAAAAGTGAAATCCAGAACTTGCTTGGTCAGTATATTCTACATCAACAGTAAATCAGGAATACTCATCAGTAGAATATAAAAGATATCAATAAATTCATCATTCAGAAAACTACCTTACATTTTCTAAGTTGAATAGATTCATAATTTATGATGTCCCAGAAACCTACACATATTGAAGCTAAAAAAAGTTCGCCTGATTGAACATATTCATGTTCCAATGCCTTTGCACTATTCAGCAGCAATGCTGTATCTATATTTTATGATAGTGCATGGCAATAATTTAGATAAGAATCGGAACACATGGAACTGTCAACATCAGAATTTAGCTTAATTTCTACAGTCTCTTGGGAATATGAACCTGCTACTTGAGCCTCTCTAACACAACTAGAATCTTCCATTTTTTCCTGATATAATTTCGGAAAAAGAATATGAGAAAAAAGGACTGATGAAACTGTTCAGGCATCTTATTGACAAGGGTAAAAGACTATGAAAAGTATTGGATCCAATTTTACTAAATTGAACACCCAGTTCATCATCCGGAAGCTTAACATCTGTCCTATAACTTACTTCTTTAACAGCAATGACATTGAAGGCTTAAGATATAATTTTTAACAAGTCCTCAGTAGGCTGTATTCTGAAAGAATAAGGACCACTTCCTTCAAGAAAAAGAAAAAGGTACCACCAATGCAGGAGAAGGGGAAAACTGAAGTATAAATTAGGGCATCAGGCACACGACAAATCGTAACATCTTTATTACCCTAATGAAAACAACTGTTCTATTGAAGGACAGCTCAACAACAAGCATTGACAGTGAGCTGTGTTCTGAAAGAATAAGGACCACTTCCTTCAAGAAAAAGAAAAAGGTACCACCAATGCAGGAGAAGGGGAAAACTGAAGTATAAATTAGGG